AATGGAAACATTTAGTCCACCGGATCTCTTGGCCCACCCAGTATCAGCCTGCATGACTTTGAGACCAGAAGAACTAGATGATGCCACCTTCCACTACCAGCTGCTCTGAAAAGAATGGCATTGGAAAGTCCTGCAAAGAGTGAGAGAAAAGTATGAAGCAAATCCCGAATCATAACAAAACAAATCAGGCTTATTGGTCAGATAGAGCCTCGGCCCTGTAGGCCTCCTTCAGGTCTGGAACCGGACTCACCCCAGGTGAGAATAAGCAACCATTTAAGATGAAAAGGGCAGCATTTATCCCAAGTCCAGAGAATTAGGAGACAAGGTAGAAGGGAAATACGAAACACAGGGAAGAAGTGGGCTAAGTGAGGGCACATTGAGGGGATTGCAGGGGTGAAATGTGTTGCATGTAAAATGGATTATTTGCTCTGTAAACCTTCACCTAATTCACAATAAAAAGTTTTGAAAAACTATTGAATAGGTAAACCAGAGCTCAAATCCTTGTTACAGAGCAGTAGACTTACCATCATGGATTTGTAGTGCAGCAAGCTCCCCTCGAAATGCTTTTCAGGTGAAAATGCAGAGGTCAGGAAAAGTTACGTTACCTACTTGCCTGCCACCAAAATGTCCCACCGGGTCTGCACTGGAAGTCAGGCCTCCTCTCGAGATCTGGGCTGCTTTTCATCTGAACGAGCACTGCCATGCAAGAGGACACAGTATGGCCGTTCCAGTGTGGACATTCCGAATGTCGAAGTGCCTTGCTCCTCTCAGAGGTGGCGGACTACCACCGTATCTGGAACACAGTGTGGTCATTCCAGTGGCCACCATCGCTGCCCGTTGCCGTCAAGTCAGCTCTGACTGCTTCCTGGTGACCCCATGTGTACTGGAGTAGAATTGCATTTGCAATAACTTCAATGGCAGGTGTTTCGGGAAGTGGAGCTCTGGGCCTGTCTTCAGAAGCACCTCTCCATCAGCTGGACCCGCCGTCCTTTCAGTGAACAGCCAAACTATGCTGGAACTCCAGTACTGGTGCCAAAGGGGAAGGTGGTTTGTACATGCTGGCACATGCTGGTGTCAAGCCTGCTTGCAGTCACGCAACCAGAGTGATGATGGAGACAGAGCAGTGTCCGAATATGAGTAGTTTGTGGAAGGTCCGCTAGGGACCGTTTCTCCTTTCTTATCCCAATCCCCACAGGATCCTTATACACAGCCAGTGTTGGTAAGAAAAAGAGGTTTTGTTAGTGGGCTTGTGATTTGGTGTGAGACCACTGTACTAGTCCCTCTGTAATAATAGCACATTGCTCCCATTCACCCCGAACAGAGGACTCAACATCACAACCAGAATCTCAGGAATTGATTCATCATGCTGTCTGTGAGATGCTGTGCTTTTACTGTGTGCATGGCACTACCCTAAACATTACCTACAGAATAGCGCTGAATCCTCAATGGCTCTTTGAGTCAAGAACCATTTTTTTAATTGCCATTTTTCTTTCTTTTTTTTCATATTAGTCATAACTTTTAAAATAACAAATAGTGGGTAGAATACTTTAAGGTTTTGTTTACTACATACTGAAATAAACAGATCAGTTATAAATTCAGAAATCCAGGTATCAGGCATCAAAGAACAAAAAATTCTTATCATTGTGAATGAGGGGGAGTGCGGAGTGGGGACCCAAAGCCCATCTGTAGGCAACTGGAAATCCCCTTACAGAAGGGTCAGGGGAGGAGACTAGCCAGTCAGGATGCAGTGTAGAAACAATGAAACATACAACTTTCCTCTAGTTCCTAAGTGCTTCTTTCCCCCAACTATCATGATCCCAATTCAACCTTACAAATCTGGCTAGACCAGAGGATGTACACTCTTACAGATAGGAACTGGAAATAGGGAATCCAGGGCAGATGATCCCTTCAGGACCATTGGTGAGAGTGGTGGAGGGAGGGTGAGGTGGAAAGGGAGAACCAATTACAA